TTATTTAGACATTTATAGATGATAAAAATTTGCAAATCAACAAATTCAATACAGAGATTAGGTTTAGCCCACTAAAGGTGAATATATTCAGCAACTGAATGAAGAAAGCTCAGAGTTTTCCTGTTACACAGGAACATTGCTATGAAGGTAATGGTTGTGTGTGAATTTTATAAAATGTGCCTTTAGATATGTGAATTATAGGTTCATTGCATATAATTCAAAATTTTAGCCTTTAGAAAACTAAAATATGTGTAGAAGAATCCAGGGTTTTTAAGACTACTATGGTTACTGGGGAGATAGCTCAGTTATTAAGTACTTGTGTTGCAAGTATGAGGACCTGAGTTCAATCTCCAAAACCCAAGTGAAAAAAAAAAAAAATACAGAACAGCCTGGTAGCTAGCACACATGTATAATCTCAGTGCTGCGAAAGTAAAGACAGACAGAGCCCAAGGACTCTCTGACCTCGGTGAAGCCAAGTCAACTAGCTTCAGGACAGTGAGAGATCTGTCAGAAAATAAGGAGGGCAGCAATGGGAAGAACAGCCGAGGCTTTCCTCCCACCTCTCTAAACACACAAGTACACTTGTACATATGTGCATGTACCAGTACTTACACATGCACTCATACACACATAAACACAAAATAGTGTTGATACCAATTAAAATACTGACTGATACTGAGAAATGTGTGTATGAAAATTTATGAAACTAGTTTTTATATATTTGGAGAATTTCATAATAAAAAGGTGTTTTTTTTTCCTTAGTCATCCAATTAATACTATAGTTCTGAAATCTAGACTAAATCTAAAGTGCTGGAATTATGTATTCAAATATAGACAGAAAACATTTGTGGTAAGGATTCTACTAAGGTTAAGACATGTTGAAAATTAGGTTTTACTTTTCTTTTGCAGACTGGAACTAAGGAAGAAAAAAAAAAACTCACTTTTTTCTAGTTAGTGCCTACAGAGACCTTTAAGCATGTAGAGCATCATAGAACTAAGAAACATTCCAATCCAAATGATCTCTAAGCATGGAGCATGAGCTTATCCAGATGTCCCAATGCATAGTGGCACTGACAAAGGACATATAATTTTGTAACATTTCTGAAAAGGATAATTTAGAAGCTTATGCTTACAAGTATGAAAGGTTTTTTTTTTTTTTTCTTTTAATCTTTCTGAGACAAGGTCTTCCTGTAGCCCCAGCTGGCCTAGAACTCACTTCGTAGACCAGGCTGGCCTTGAACTCACAGAGATCTTCCTGCTTCTGCCTCCCCAGTGGTGGGACTAAAGGCATGCACCACCACGCCAGACTGAGTTAAAGCTTTTTTGTAAGCATGACTATATAGTGAATTTTGGCTTATGTCTTTAATCTGATTTAAACTTTTTATAAGCATGACAGAGTGGTAAATATTGTGTGGGAATTTTAATCTGGTTGTATCTACCATGTTATTACATGGGGGGGGGAAAGCATGGCTAACAGCACTTTAATGACACTCTAGAATGCAAGATGCTCACAAAATAAATTCCTTCTATTTCAATTAATATAGATGTTTCTACTCTTTTCCCAGTTGTAAAAGAAGAAAAACATCTTCACCCTTAGTAGACAAAGCTGGTTGTCTAGTTTGTGTTTCTAGTGTGCCTACATTCCTGTTAGGGTAGTGTCTCCCTAACCTTGGGTGTGGTACTGAGAACAGCATTTATAGACAAAGAGTTCGTCAAGGGGAGAGAATTTGTTATTAAACTGTTAAGAGGGATTTATCAAAGCTGCTTTTGTCTTATAGAGGGAGCCCTGAGACCAAAAGCCATTTGCTAGCAGTGTCAGTAAACTGAAGGAAAAGAAGACAAAGCCTAGATTCTAAGAGAAAGGAAATATGGACACATAAAACAGAATAAGAGCCAGCAAATGGAAATTCTGATTAGCTTTTCTGATGATCTTACACACACTTTACAGAAATAGTTAAGAGGCAGTACATTTATATATTGCTTTATATAGTGTGTGAAATTGTCATTTCAGGGCCTAAATGAATGAAAATTCTCTACTCAGTTTATTGCCCCTTCCTATTTTCCTTTGTATGATAACAGAACCATAATGTCTCTTCAAATTTGGGTCCTCTCCTTGCCCTTGCTGGTTTTACTGTCCTGAAACTTGCAGTTCTGGAGTTATATTTGGTTATGTTTCCCTAGAAAAGTCCTAGGTGACATTGGTATGAGAATTCAGTAATAAAACAAAAGTACTTTGCTACATTTGGATAAAAGTTCTTCCTAAGTAACTATTTAACTTGTATATAGTTTATTATGTTATTAAATATAAAGTCATATTAGGTGAAACTATTGTTTTTATTCTTTCGTGGTCCTTTCAAATCACATTTAACCAGAGTATCTGAAAACTTATTTTACTGTGAGAGTTCTCTGTGGTAGAATGCAATCGTTTAGTGATTACCAAGAAATACTTTTATTTCAATTCTGAAACTTTTTCCATTGATTATAGTATCACTTGATACTCATGTTGACTATACACAAAACTGGACAGAGAGCCAGTCAGCTATATTCCGCCTTGTTCTCCAGATAAATACTATCTAGACACAGTACATAATTCCTTTCCATTGAATTCATGGCTAGTTACCTTCCCTTCTTCCATTGTTTAAAGCATCTTCTCAGCAAGACTCCTGCTCTGTCTCAGTATGACCTCTGGATTCTCCCAGCATTTTGGTCCTGGTTCCACTATCCTGGCTCCTATAAAGCCATTTAATCATTTCATTTATTCATTAACTTAGTTTTCTTTTAACACTCTCTCCTGAACACCTTCCAGCATAAACAGTTCATGGTGTGATGTCTCTGTCTTCAGGTTGGCAGACTGCTTGAAAATACCTCTCACTTCCCTTGGGTACCTGCAGCCAATCATCCTCATCTTTCCTCAGTCCTGGGAATTTCCTATGGACTATTTTCTCCGAAATCAAGAAAAAGCCACAAAATAATTTGGATACGTTCCACTAAAATTCATGCATTCTAGCCTATATAAATCCTTATGTACACACAAAACCCTGACCCTTATCACATTTTCACATTATAATGTATTTAATGTTACCAAGCTTCCAGCCAAACATGCTCCCAAGGAAATGATTCACTCTTTATTACCAGGTGATTTTCTAACATCAGTATCTGGAGACTCCCTTTTTTAAACTTTTTCTTTGTCCAGTGTTTCTATTAAGGAGAAAATGTTTCCTCCTGTGGAGCCTTCCCTGTGTGTTTTCTTTTCCGTCTGCTGTTTCCTTCAGCAGATTTTGCATGTTTTTCCGACCATCTGCAGCTTCAAAACTTCCTTATTGTCAACCCCTGAAAACATATATAGACAGCTGGCCAAAAGGACTCCCATAATCTGTGTTTTTACCTTTCCTTCTCCAAACTCTCAAACTTCTTGAAATAATAATATATGCACGTTTTCTCAAATTCTTACCATACAGTCCTTCTTTGACCCATTCTCATTTGCTTGTGCAACAAAAAAATAGTTCTCTTAAAGGTCATCTGTGACTTTTTAATGTAACCCTTATTTTCATCCATTCAGAATTTTTTTTTTGCTCGCTGTGTACCAGGAATATGCTGGATATTACAGGTTAATCTAAAAAAGACTAAATCATCATTGTCAGAGAGCTGATAAGAGAAGTAAGTAGAGCTGGAACTACTGCATGCAGAAGATCTGCAGTTGGTTAAGCATAAGGAAAAAGGGAAGGAAGGGGAGCATTTTCTAACTCAGGCTCAGTTCAAAAGGTTGTAAAGTAAGAAAAGCTGAAACATCTCAAAAGAAAAGGAGAAGGTGTTCGGATAAAGAAGAGGAGCAGCAGTTACAGCCAGCAGGTACTTCCAGGAAGGAATCTAATAGTTTTCATGCTTTTAGTTAGCTGTGGACTTAGTAATGTGAGTGAAGAATTTGTTTGAAGAAGTACATGGTGCTGAGTCTTATACTTAAATTTAGTTTTTGTATTTCTGTTTAAATGTTTGTGTAATACGTTTAGAGAGAAGCCTTGTACTTTTAACCAGATTCTCACAAATGAATCTGTGACTTTAAAATATGAAGAGCTGCTGCTGTGAATCTGTGTGTGAACCAAAATATGATAGACTTTGAATAGCAAGCTAAAGAGATTGTGAACTGTGTTTTAGAGAGCTTCAGTTTGAAAGAATTTGAGAAATACAGTGTCATATCCAGATCTGGCAAATTCACATTCTGTAAATGGACTTATATAGAAAGAGCAAGACTATAAATAGGAAATTTGGGAGAAGAGAGTAATCCAGACATGAGATTATAGTGCCCCATCAAAGGGACAGTGGGATGAAGAAGAAAGGATGGGTCAGAAGAACTCCAAAGCAGGACTTACATTTTAGTCCACACATGCCTCCTGGGCCCTTGTCCCTTGTTGAAGCACTCTGAACAAATCTATGCATCAGTCCTTCCCCCAGTGCTTATCTCATTCTGATGGAGCTGAACATCCTGTCTTGAGCTGTGTATTTGTATCCTTGTGGATCTTTTACATTTTGAAGTCTCTCAGATTGTGCCCTTGGGTTTTTGTTTCTTTTTATACCTAACAGAAAATTATACATAGTATCCCCAAAAGTGGGATAGTATCCCCAAAACTGGTCATGAGTGATGTTGCTTCTCTAGCATTCATATTGTTCTAAGAGCTCTAGTGTTTATTCATTTAATTCTCACAGCAGCCTCTGAGATGTACACTGTTACTGTAACCCCTTTGGGGCTTAAAAGAAATATGAGTCACTGAGCACTTAAACTTCTTTCCTGACATTCAGACCCAAACAGTCTGACTCCCAAATCTATGCCCTCAATCAGTATGCTAAAATGTCTCAACATTGGGAGCTCTTTCGTTTGAATATAGTCTAGTGAATGGTAAAGTTAAAGTAATGTATAAAATGTTCTAATTCTCTAAGAATGAATATATTTTTTGTATGAAATGGCTAATAAATTTTTCTTCCTAATTTTAAAAAAATTCCTTTAGAACCAGCTCAAAGATACAAAACGTACCACAATGATATCTTTAGTACCTCCAGCGAAAGTCCATCTATTATTTCCTCTGAATCAGATTTCAGACAAGGTAAGAGGTATATGAAACAAGCAAAGCATTTTTATGAAGTAGCTAGAATTATTTTTTTCAATGCTATTAAAAAAAATTAATCAAAAATTTTCATTGTAAAATGCTTCCTTTTACTCATTTTTACAGTGTTACACTAAACAATAGCAGTTTCATCAAACAATGTAGTCATTTTACCATAGAGACAGGAAGTTGTCTTTTAAACTATATGACTTGCTGCAAAAGAATTTTATAACATGTCATTCAAGTATATGATGGTAATTTGTACAAATTATCTTATATGTCTGCTAAATGCTTGAGTTTTAGATAAGATTGCTTTCATATTTTTATCACCTCTGCCTTTATTCCATTTGAATTCACAATTAGTGAGAAGAAGTGAAGCTGCCAAGAGGTTTGAAGCCAGCAGTCTCCCGGGAGTAGATGAAACTCTGAGTCAGGGCCAGTCACAGAGACCAAGGTATGGCCTTGAAGAGTACTAATTTTCAGTCACAGGTGGTTGACTTCATTTTTCTTTTGTTCTGTTTTGCTTTGTTTGACTCTCAGTAGTTACAGTTTGCACTTGGTTTTTAAAATTTTCAATGTGAATAGATAAAACAGTCAAGAAGGTAAAAGCATGGCATTAAAAAAATCTGTGAAAATGCTAAATTTTTATTGCTTAAAAAATAATAATAATGGGCTGGAGAGATGGCTCAGTGGTTAAGAACAGTAGCTGTTCTTGCAGAAGACCCAAGTTCAAATCCCAGCACCCACATAGCAGCTAACAGCTGTCCATCATAACTCCAGTTTCAGGGGATCCGACAGCCTCTTCTGTCCTCCGAGGGCAATGCATGACACTGGTGCACTTACATACATGCAGTAATTCATGCATATACAGAAAATAAAAAATAAAAAAATATATTTTTAAAATAATAGTAATAATGATCTTTGCTTTTCAGACTCACCAATAGGCATTCAATGTGAATTTGAATGAAAAATTAGTTGATTACACTAAGTAAGGTACTGTGTGAAAAGTTAATTATTCATTAGTTGGATAACAGAGATTTCTCTGGCTTATTTTTAAAGCCCACTTGGAGCTGTTTAGAGTTCAGCTTCCTAATGAAATACCTGTAAATGTCTTATGAAATGTTAATATTTATTTGTGTGAGGCTTGGGATGGCCATGTTATACCTTTGTATAATTTGCCTTGTTTGAACTGAAAGATATCAGATCAGTGGTATATCATTGCCACATGAACATAGGTCCCTTGCATGAGTGAAGAACACTAGCTTCAATGATACTAGAGGTCCAAAGTTGGCTTCAAAGTGTATTTCCAAAGCATGAAAATCCTTTAAACTCATGTGTGTGCTGTGTGTGTGTGTGTGTGTGTGCATGAGTGTGTGTGTTTCACATGCCACCAATTACAACAGAATCCTTTAGAAATTATCAAAAACTTATCCCTTAGCTAATTATCTCCCAGACAGCACACCAGTAAACTGTTAATAGACCAAGTAATTCTTGCTGCGTAATTAAAAGAATTATTCATGGCTTATAATAATATATTATTACTGTCTTGTGGTGAACCCGTTTTGATTATTTTGAACAAAGAGAGAGAAGAGAAAAAGATAGGTCTATGCTTAATATTATATATTTTCATTGCTGAAGCAAAAGTATTCGAGGATGAACAGTAAGAAGCCAGTATTGAACTATACTAAGCTTAATGTTGAATCAAGGGAGGAGATTTTTATAATGTTTTCCTCTATAGGCCTGATTTAGAAAACTATAAATAGGTGATATGCCTTTTTTAGCTACCGTGAAAGAAGGAATAGAGATAACAGCTAGAAGAAAAATCATGACGATTATATGTTAACACACTGTTTTTAGGCTGTCATTAAGGAAACATTCCTTAAAACAAAATTAAGTCATCTTGTGAGATGTGTGTTTTCTTAATAAAGAATCTGTAAAAGTGATGAGAGACTCATATTTCTAGGTGTAATGGAAGGAATTATTAACATTAAGGCCACCTTACCCTGCAGATTCTTGTTTGCAGGATAAACTATCTTTTGGGGCAGAAACCCCATGTAGTGTTCAGAGCAACTAGGTTAGATGTAGGTAGAAGTGAAAGAAAAATATTTCTGGAATAAGTAGAGCATTTGTTGCACGTATGTGCTGCTTCACTGTCTTGCTATTTCTTTTAAGTAGCTCCATCCATTTCCTTCCCACAGTAACTAAAATACTGTCCAGATTCCTTATTCAAGTACAAAACTTCACTGAGTGTGGACAGAGGTTTCTTCTCATGCCCTCACCATGCTAGCACACAGTTGGGAGCTTCTGGTTTGATCCTTAGATCGCATATTTGTGAGATCTGTAAATAATACTGTGTTTATACATATTGCGTGCTTCCTTACAAGAAAATTTCCATTCCCTTTAGTTAGAATGAAATGTCGAAACAGATCCAGAGAGTGCTATTGATATCTATCACAGGGGTGGGATAGACACTGACAGGAAACTGTGAGTCAGATGTAGCAGAATGAGTAATTTCTGGACCTTAAGCTATCAAAAGTGTCTTTCAGTGACTAAAAAGGATATTCAAAGCCGCTTCCAAAGAGCATCTCTCAGCCTTTTCATGTGTTGATGTTTGAAGTAGCTCAATACATAGCGTACTCCCACTGCTGCTGTGCCTCTCTGTTTGTTGGTGTGACTTTTTCCAAGCACATTAGCAGATAACATTCGTTCTTCAGTAATAGTTTTTTTTTTCTAAACTTTGGCCTTGCTTGCTTTTGTTTTTTTATATCTCAAATATTTCATCTGTTTATTTATTTATGTGTGTGAATGTTCTGCCTGTGTAATACAGTGCCCACAAAGGCCAGAAGAGAGTGTTAACTCCTGAAACTGGAGTTAAGGAAGATTGTTAGCTGTCATGTGGGTGCTGGGTCTCTTAAACGTGTGCTCTTAATCACTGAGCCATCTCTCCGGCCCTATATTTCAGTTGTTAATGAAAGTTCTATCAGACATTTTGTTGGAAGAAATAAATGATAAATCACTTTTCTTCCTGTGATCAATTCTAGTTAATGAATTCTGTTTAATGAAAGTGCCCCATTTCAGTTAAAATGCACTGATTCAAGTTCTTACTACTTTTGACCCCAGGTAAGGGTGAGCCACAGGATCACATTTGATCATTCACTTAGCAGTCACTGAGCACCCACCACATACTAAATACTTTCAGGTCTACTATCTGCTATACTATAGACAGAGTTGTGAACAACACAAAAATCAACTCCCTCAAGGACCGTCTAGATGAGAGCTAGCTGATAAACAATGAAAAACAAGTAAGCAATGAAAATAGTGCTTTGAAGAAAACTAAAGCACACCAGTGCAATAGGCAGAGTCAGGATGCAGTTTCCAAACCATTTTACATGATCAGTGTGATCAGAGCAGGTCTCCCTCAAGGGGCAATACTGAATAGAAAACTGAAGTAAAAAATGACTCTTTCAGATGTCAGTGGAAAATATGTTCAGGTCAAGGGGAGCAGTTAGTGCAGAGGAGCTGGGGTGTGGGAGACATGTAACCTTTAGAGAAATAGCAAAAAGGGCAGGGTGGCTACAACAGTTTGAGTGAAGGACATTAAACCCAAAGGATGGTGACCCAGTAACTAGAACCCAAATCAGGTGAGGTTACAGAAGCTAAGGAAAGAACTTTAGGTGTAAGGGAAGCCATTTTTCTGGCCAAAATGCAGCTTACATTACAGTGGCATAGACCCTGCCTGTTCTGTGAAGGACAGACTGTAGGAGTGGAATGGCTGTCTATTTACAGTAGACAGCACAGACAGTACAGACTTCATGTTTAGTGCTGGAGAAAAGCCAGATACGGATATCCTCTAGGCTATGCCTTCACAATTTGATGCTCAATTAGATGTGGGGTTTATAAGAAAGAGAAAACAAGAATGACTAAATTATGTCCTAATTAATCACTGATAAGTGATTGAGAGAAGGTTTGACATAGGAGGAAAGTAAAAGGATTGGTTAACATCCAAGTACGACACTTGCATTCCTTTCTGTTTTAGTGAGAAGACTGAGGAAAGGTCACCTGTTGAGAGAGGAAGGAGAGCATATTAGAGCTTCAAAAAGACAAGAGAGGAACAGAGATGTAAAATAGTTCTCTGTAAGAAAATGATTCAAGAGGTTGTGCTGAAAGTGTGAAATTTGCCAGCCTGGCTCTGCAGCTTCAAACAGTAATGAGGTTGCATGCAAAGGAGTGATTTTAGTGATGTACCATAGATTCCAAACAAGATAGGGAAAGAGGAGGGTAATGGCAGTCAGTGCTATGAGTCAGTAAGTTAAGCTTACTGAAGAATTGATGAATTAGCTGATGAATGTATTAGAGCACATCAGACAAAATAAGATCATACATACAATATGGGAGAATACACGTGGACTCATGTAGAGATAATGTATGTATAACTTGTTAGTAGGTTGTTGGACTAATATGGTTCTCTCTGGTTTTTTAAGACTAGCTAGGCATTATTTATCTCTTCTCTCTCTCTCTAACCCTTCCACCATGGTTTCCCCATTTAAAGTGTCCCCATTTTCCCCATTTCTCCCTTGATAATACCCGTCTCCTATGGTCCCATCTCTCTTGAGCTCCTTCTTTTTCTTTATCCCCAAGGTTCCTTGTATAACCTGCTCCCATTTAAATAACCCCATTTTTATCCATTTCTCCCTTAGTAACACCTATTTCCTACTGTTCTTCTCTCTCAGGTTCTTTCTTTCCCTTTACCTCCCTGGTTCCTTTTCATTATCCGGGTTCCTGTAGTTATGTCTGGATACATACTCACTTATAAGGATTTGGTGCTAGGATCCACATATGAAGGAGAATATACATCATTTATTTTTCTGAGTCTGTGTTTCTTCATTTAGTGTAACAGTTTCTAGTTCCATCCATTTACCTACAAATTTATGATTTCATATTCCTTTCCTGCAGAGTAGAGCG